AATGCCGCAGAAATTCAGTTGCTTTACAAACTTCTACTATGATCAGTAATTGGTAGTGTGGGTCTTAGTAATTAGTCAAATCACATTGTACCTGAATGGTTGAAGGGTTTAAGAACCCTGTGTAAAACCACATTCAGGGTGACACAGTTTGGCTGTCACACCTCATGCACATGAATAAATATTTACCCTTGTAATTCTATACTTTGTGTCCTAGACTTTCTCCTTGGTCAGCACAGGCCAGTTGCAAATTTTCCGTAACAGTGAGCTACACTTAGCAGATTGTTTTCTTCAAAACCGGAAAAATTAGAAACATTCCTAAAAAAAGAGATGATGTTCTGTAACACAAGTAATAATTCAAGAAATAGCTTACTAGTCAAAACGGATTTTTAGCTCATCTACCTGAAACAGTCCAGAGCATGATAAATATATTTAATATCGATAAAATGGAATCAGTCGTCTAATACACAACACGGATTAAGCACTTTTGCCACTCTTCCTTGGATATGTGTAGCTAGCTTGCTCTGAAGGCAATTTGCCTGTAACAAGTGCAAATAGATTATTCAGTATTTAAATAAGGCCAGACTAAATAATGTTACCCAGAAGAGCCTTTGTTATGGAAAGCTGGAGAGTCGATTTGCATCTTCCTTGGTGTTTTCCAGCTACATAAATTCAGTCCCTTCCCGGCATTTTCTAACCTTGCATTCGAAGCTACTCCATTTCCTTTCCCTGTCACGTGAATGCTGTCTTTGCCGACATGAGTTAGACTCGATCAGATTAGATCATAGCTCCTCTTTCTCGCTTAGTCTCCAGCCTTGAACCTATTTAGACTACCAGAGAGGGAGTAATTCTGCTGCAATTACCACCTAATCACTCCACTTTCATTTGCCATTTGCCAGTCGGCTTTGACGAAATTCCCAGCTCTTGCGAGGTCTTTTGTTCCTTCTCAGTTTGCCCTGTGACTGACCGACCCCCACGGTATTATTTAGGCACCCTGAGCATCCGTGCTGAGGACCCTAAAGGGAGGGTCACCACTTCGTAGTGATAAGGGTTGTTACCTACGTAGGAAACGCTTGTGATAACGCTACGAATTGGCAAATAGAAGCAGCATCCAAACATGTAGCCTCTTTTAGTTCATAGTGGGTCCTAGTTTCTATAACAAAGAGATGATGCCCTTCCTGCATCCTTGCACCATTGCTGTCCCCTGTGAGACTGGTCCTGTCATGCGCTGTGGGACACCCACATACCAGGAATTCACCACAACTCCTCTGCTGCTTGTCCTGCTGTCAGCCTGCATTTTCTTTCCACCCTCTATGAAGATTATCTGACGTGAAATGCTGATCCTGGCTTGTAGACCCACGAGAGCCACAGGTAGACAGCTGCTGCTCAACTGCAAAACTATGAAATGGCTGTGTTTCGAGAAGGCTCGGGAGGAAAGAGAATGAAGAGGGTGAGTAAATGGGCTACAAGGTTAATCAGGTGCTCTAGGAGGTTTTCCTGGAAGTTTTGCTTTGTGTGTTACTAATTTATAAGCCCCCCCCCCCAAAAAAAAAAAAAAAAAAGTAAGAAAGCAATGCACTGGAAATCCTGAGAAAAACAACAGTGATAACCTAAGTTGCAAATAAAAAAGGGAACTTTTTGGAGACATACAGAATTTCTCTCTGAGCCATTGCGGTACCCTCACATAACAGCTTCTCCTATCCCTGTTCAGGACACTATCATAACTATAGTCAGGTGGATATGGTTTTCACTCTATGGGCTGCAACAATGCAATAGCACAGCCTATTGAACTCTGGGAGCGGAGAAGAAAGAGCTTCTTTTGGGTATGTATTCTGTGAATGTACTTTGTAGAGCTGAATTACGCTGAGTGGAACATTTTGGCTTCCAGGGTGAAAATATACTACTTTGTAAGCATTCAGAGCACTTAGAAAAGAAAAATGCAATCTTAGTTTTCTGAAATGTGCAAGTACAAACTGCATGCAATGACAACATTCAGGATTTAAAATAGCAGTAAAAGATGTCAATCCTGTAAGTTTCCCAGTCCCTCATAATGCAGGCTTAGACTTTAAGACTGAAGGAACCAGCTTAGTTGTTGCTTTGCATTTTTGCAGCTGATCTTAATGCTGTACAATACATTCCCGCTTCAAGTGCCTAAGCAAAGTGCATGCATTATATGATGCATTCTAGATGTTTCTTTAGATACAGGC